AAAGGGGGGAGGCGCCCCCTTCTTTCCTTCCTCCCTTCTTGGGATATGGTAAGAGGGGGTGGCGCCCCCTCTTTACCATATATTAGGTGTGGCTGCCCTAAAGGGGGCGCACCAGCCCATGTGGGCTGGTGTGTTCCCTTCCACTTGGCCCACTAAGGCCCAATACTCTCCCGGTGCCTCCGGAACCCCTTCTAGCATTCCGATAACTTTCTGGTGCATTCTGAAACTATTCCGGAGACCAATAAGCATCATCCTGTATATCAATATTTACCTACGGACCATTCCGAAGCTCCTTATCATGTCCGTGATCACATCCGGGACTCCGAACAACATTCGGTCACCAAACCACATAACTCATATTATACCAAATCGACATCGAACATTAAGCGTGCGGACCCTATGGGTTCGAGAACTATGTAGACATGACCGAGACACCTTTCCGGTCAATAACCAATAGTGGAACCTGGATGCCCGTGCTGGCTCCTACATATTCTACGAAGATCTTTATCGGTCGAGCCGTTATGACAACATACATAATTCCCTTTGTCCATCGGTATTTACTTGTCCGAGATTCGATCGTCAGTATTTCTATACCTAGTTCAATCTCGTTGCCGGCAAGTCTCTTTACTCGTTCCGTAATACATCACCTTGTGACTAACTCCTTAGTCGTTTGCTTGCAAGCTTATGATGTGTTACCGAGAGGGCCCAGAGATACCTCTCTGATAGTTGGAGTGACAAATCCTGATCTCGATCTATGCCAACTCAACAAACACCTTCAGAGATACCTGTAGAGCATCTTTATAATCACCCGGTTACGTTGTGACGTTTGATAGCACATAGGGCATTCCTCCGGTATCCGGGAGTTGCATAATCTCATAGTCGAAGGAATATGTATTTGACATGAAGAAAGCAATAGCAATAAAACTGAACAATCATTATGCAAAGGTAACGACTGCTTCAACACGGCGCTGCTGCACCCGACAAAAGCTCCACTGCAGCTCTCGTGGCGCACCGCCGGCGGCTGGCGAAGAAGCTCCAACGCAGCACCTACGACATCTGGCGGAGCTCCAACGCAACACCGACGATGCTCCCAACAGTTACAAGGCATCATCTCCGGAGTTGCAGCGCCCCTCGTCGGCCACTCGCCGCGGTCACTGTTGCAGCGCTGCGGCACTCCATTAATTGCAGTTCAGGCTCAAAAATCGCAGCTCCGACACCATGCGCAGATGCTCCCCGTCGCAGCAACAACAGCTTCGACAGCCATGATAGGTGGTGGTCGGCATCGAAGCTTCTGCCGATTCGTCGCAGCACGGCGTTGCCCCTTGCAGCAGTAACAACTCCGCCATGGAAGAGAAGGGCCAGCGCGGCCATGGAAGAGAAGGGCCAACACAACCATGGAAGTGGGCAGCAAGAGAGACCGCAACCATGGGAATGGGCAGCAGAGGAAAGAGGGGATCTACAGATTGCGAGTCGAAGACGACGATGCGGTCATGGAGCAGCGCGTAGGGCCCAGTGAGGGGACGTGTGTCGATCGCTGGAGGAGGCTTGCGTTTCGTTCTTTTTATCCGGCTTAAAACAAACGTTTTCCTTATTAAATCAGATACTCTAACTAGGAGTACCTACTTCCTTTCTGGCGCCGTAGTTAATTAGAGAGCAAAAAATTAACGAGCGCTTCTTCGGAAGCCTCACAACGATCAATGCCACTTGGCGCGCTCTCAGCGATTCGCCACGTGTCGCGCTCTGGCCGCTCCCTCCGGATTTCGTTTTTTTAATTTTTCCGCGCGTGTTTTCAGCTTTTTAAACGGTTTTATTTCCGGGTTTTTTTGATGTTTTGGTTTTCCACCAGTCTACCTTAGCTTTTCGACCAAAAAAAATTTGAAAAAAAAAATTTGTGCAAAACAAACGCGTTTTCTTTTTTTACCCTTTCACGAGATCACTGCTTTGTTTCCGCGAGAGGCACGGTTGTGCTTTTGCGAGAGGCACGGCCATGCTTCTTGGAAACGAAAAAAACATGTTTTTGCTTTTTGTTTCCTTTCGCGAGAGGCACGATTGTGCTTTCGCGAGAGTCAGGGTCGTGCCTCTTGGAAATGGAAACAAAACATGTTTTCTATTTTTTTTCTTTAGCGAGAGGCATGGTTTTGCTTCCGCGAGAGGCACGGTTGTGTTTTCGCGAGAGTCACGGCTGTGCCTCTTTGGAAACGGAAAAAACACGTGTTTTCTGGGTTTTATTCGCGAGAGTCATGATTTTGCTTCCGCGAGAGGCACGGTTGTGATTTTGTCAGAGGCACGGGCGTGCCTCTTTCGGAAAGGGAAAAACTCGTGCTCCTGGTTCGTTTTTTCGTCCGGATTTTTTTTGTCCGGTTCTTTTTGTGAAAAAAAAGTTTGTCAAAACCTATCAACATGGGATCTAGTTTTGAAGATCTTGACGCGAGGAATCCAACGGCGAAAGCGGTTCGAGATTTGAACGCACGGTTTAAAAGATTAAACGTTTTGAATAAATGGATCTACGGAAAAAAGGAAAACTCCCAGGTTGCGACAAGTGGCGCACATGCAGCGCGCCACTTGTCGCAACCTGGGAATTGAAATAATCTTCGCAACGAGTACTCTTAACTAGTGATTTCGAGTTAATGGCGTCGTATCCTATGAATCCACACATGTTTGTGCATCCCTGCATCCTTTCATCATCAGCCGTCCGATCGAAATCTCGTGCCTACTATGCATCGGTCCTGGAGGCGGGCGTTTTCCTGTAAAAAAAGGACCGATGCATAGTAGGCACGAGATTTCGATCGGACGGCTCTCCTGTTTGGAAAATTAACAGCCTAACTTAGGATGGAGGCGGGCATTTTCCTGCAAAAAGAGGACCGATGCATAGTAGGCACGAGATTTCGATCGGACGGCTGATGATGAAAGGATGCAGGAATGCACAAACATGTGTGGATTCATAGGATACGACGCCCGAGTTAATTGCTAACTCGAGTTACTCAAGTGCAAAAATAAACAAACCATTGGCTGGTTGACGGGCCCAAGAGCACCCAGTTTCCAACATTTGGCCCACCCGAAGTAGACAACACCACCGACCAAACCCTACAAATCTTCCCACCACCGCCGCCACTCGGTCACACACACAGACACACCTCGCTCCTCGCTCGCCTCTCCACCGAAGCCCTAGCCGGGCTCCTGGTGCTCTCCTCCCGCCGTCGCCAGCCATGGACGCGGAGCAGCTCCTAACGTACATCTACACCTGCCTCCCCGAGCCGCCAGTCTACGACACCGCTCGCCTCGCCGCCCGCCGTGCCGCCCCCTACCACGGCGTCGACCGCATCAGCGGCCTCTCCGACGCGCTCCTCCACGACATCGTCTCCCGCCTCCCCTTCAAGGACGCCGCGCGCACCGCCGTACTCGCCACGCGCTGGCGCCGGGTCTGGCTCTCGGCCCCGCTCGTCGTCGTCGACACCCACCACCTGGACCACTGGCCCCCGACTCGCGCCGACGCGCCGGCCGTCACCGCCGCGGTGTCGCGCGCCCTCGCCGCGCACCCCGGGCCCTTCCGCTGCGTCCACCTCGTCTCCAGCCACATGGACGGGTACCCGGCCCAGCTCAAGCGCTGGCTCCGTCTCCTCGCCGCCAAGGGAGTCCAGGAGCTCGTCCTCGTCAACCGCCCCTGCCCGCGCCAGGTGCCTCTCCCCGGCACACTCTTCCGCGTGGCCACCCTCACCCGCCTCTACGTCGGCGTCTGGAAGTTCCCGGACGCGGCCTGCCTCGGCGACGCCTCCTTCCCCAACCTCCGCGAGCTCGGCATCTTCAGCGTCGCCATGGAGAAAGGGGACATCGAAGCCGTCGTCGCCAGGAGCCCCGTTCTCGAGATCCTCAACATTCAAGGGAGCGTCAAGGGGTTGGGTCTCCACCTCATCAGCCAGAGCCTCCGATGCGTGCAGATCTGCGATTCCGTGATGGAGAACATCGTCGTGGTGGACACCCCGCGTCTCGAGCGGCTCATCCTGTACAAGGTCCGGGGATCTCTCAACCCTGCCAGTGTCCTGCGGACCGGGATCAAGATTGGCAATGCCCCCAAGCTGGAAATGTTCGGGTATCTGGAGCCAGGAAAGTACGTGCTTCAGGCCGGAGACACCATCATCATGGTACACGAGCATCATCTACGTACCTAAAATTTCCCATTTGTTCTATGCTAAGGCGTGTAATTCAGTGTCTGATCTTTCTTTGTTGAATTGGGTGCATTCGATTCTAGCCCGGGATGAAGCCAAGCGCAAGCACTATGTTTACGAGCGTGACTATCCTGAGCCTGAATGTCCGTTTTGGAGTCCACGATGATGCCAATATGGTGGCTACCTTCCTAAAGTGCTTTCCCAACGCATCGAGTCTGCATATCAGGGTACTCCACCTACTAGCATTAGTACATCTTTACACTTTTGTTGCTGCTACAATGCATAATTCATCAGTAGTTGAACTGTTCATGATCTAACCAATTTGCAGTGTGAACAATGTGATGAACCCGCTGGGAAGCTCGTACTTAAGTTCTGGGAGGAGGTTGGTCCCATCGTGAGTGTCATGTTGCGCATAGGGGTGATGACTATCCGTGAATTCCGAGGGGAGGAGGGCGAGATGGCTTTTCTCAAGTACTTCTTCACGAACGCGAGGGAGCTGAAGTATGCGGCGATAATCTTCCCCAATCCAAGCTTCTCTTCAATTTCAAAGAACGATGCATGCTCCAAAGCAAACTATCTGACCTCTCTGAACTGGGCCACTCAAGGCTGCGGATTCATGGTGTATGGGAGTTCAGATCCTGAAGGAGGCAGACCGTGGTGCTTCAAGACCGGAGCAATTTTTTCGCGTGACCCTTTCTCGTGGTGAAGTCAAAAGCTCCAACATATCTCATGGTCCAAAGCTTAATGCATGTGGGAGTGTTTAGTGTCAATCGTTTGCAACATGGTACTCCCTCGGTTCCAAATTACTCGTCGCTGAAATGGATCTATCTAGAACTAAAATACATCTAGATACATCCATATGTGCGACAAGTAATTCGGTACGGAGGGAGTACATGGTATCGTTTTGGTTAGTGTTTATGATCAGCTTGGAAGTGTTGAGGTTAGTATAGTTAGTAGTGGTGCTGGTGTGCTACCTACTGTTGATGAGAAATCAGTACTCTCTCTATGCCTGGGTTTATCTTGGTGGTGATGGTTGCCTGATAAGGCATGTAAATGATGAATGTGCAAACTAACCTCGTTGCCTGATAATGTTGGTGATGGTTGCCTGATAATCTTGTTGGCTTATGCACTGGGGATAAACTAGTGCATGCATGTACTAGTTGTCTACTGGTTTTTTTATAGCAGTGTTACGATCATGCAGATCTGAAGCAGATCGATGCACGCGGCCGGTCTAGGTTATGTTTTTTTTTTCTTTGCGGGAATAGGTTATGTTTGTTGGCTCTGCTCCCTTCCGATCGCATGCGCGCGGGGTATGCCAGATAGATGATCTCCATCCATATGTAAGCCAAAATTTTGTTTGTATTTCCATGCCCATGGTGACCTTTTTTTGATAAAGGTGGGTTTTATTGACTAAAAATGAGTGCATATCCCGTCTGTGCATAGATAAGGAACAGTGCTACGCGGATGGACCAAATTCAGACTATTGGTGCACGACGATTACATCCAGCCTTGGAATATCCTCTTCCCCTACAATGGCCGTTGGATTGCGGGTCATCCACAGATCGTTCACATTTTGTAATGTGTCGAGCAGTTTCGATAGATAAGATGCACACAACCAATACCAATGTACACACACATGAATACACCGTCGAAAGCTAAGTCATACAAAAATCAAAGCTATGCCTATGCGAGTAAAAGAGAAAAAATACGAAGCGATCAAAATAGCCTATGGCAATGATCACATTTGCACCAACCATCTTTCTACAACACATGTACAACAGGAAATGTTCTTCAACAACAATGTCTTCATGAAGGGAACAACACTCGAGCGCCACCATCGTCGGATCCAATCACCAAATGCCAAAAATTTCAGGTTTTCACCCAGAAGAACAAGTCCGAGCATATCCAAGAAATGCATCAACAAGGTAACAACGCAAAAAATATCGACAATGGCATGTAAAACCAACTAGGTTCATACCGAATTTTCACCATGGAGCTTCAGACTGGGTACTCGAGAAGCATCACCAAATCTAAGTGAATCATGTCTTATCCCCACCACTTTATGCGATCCCAACAGCTACATGCATTGGACTAGAAATCTCAACTCCATCGTTGCACAACCATACCCTCTGCGTCAAGCCGTCGTCCATAGATCGCATCTCACAGTCAAAGGCAAACTAGCCAGAATGAGAGCCGCCAGAACCTGCAAAGGAGCCTTTGGGTTCATCCCACAACCACACAGTATGAGCCGCTAGTGGCAACCACTGGTTCTGGAGCGAGGAACCCTCATGAAGACTTTTCTCCGTCCACTTCAGCCCGCATATCAAGGGCAAGCCGATCCCACCACGCAGTTACAACTCCAACCCTGACAAGCACCCGACATCAAGAGGTCCACCTATGCTCTAGCCAGCATGACTCCATAGTCGGATTCGGCGTTTGCACCGCCATGTAGCAGCACGAGCTCTCTGGCCAGCACGACATAAGCAACAAGCTGGCCCCCTCCACGTCGGAAGATGTCGGGCAAACGCACGTCGAGAGGGCCTGTCGGGGGACCAGAGGAGGGAGAGACATGCCTCATCATTAGGAACAAGTGCCCTCTCATCGCCTTTGTTGGGACCTACCAGAGCTTCGCTGGTGGATATCCTCCAATGACGCGACACGGGGAGAGGCAAGGGAAGGGGGCGACGGAAGCTTAGGGTTACTCCCCCGAGCTCAGGATCATGACTTAGTGAGTAAACAATCATTTGGTTTTAGTTAACCAAGAAATTTTCCCTACTACTCAAACCCTAGCGTAGAGTCACTACTATACCTAAGAGATTCATCCCCAATATCTTATTTATCTTGTCATGCACCTATCCACATCACCAAGTCGGTCCATCATGTAAACACATTTCCCACTAACTCTTCACGTGCATCCTCCCATTAACTCTTTATGTGCATGCACGCTGCCACAAATAATCATTTTTTCCTGCACTCTCAAGCAACACGTTATCCTAAGTTTCTTTTGCTATCTACATATTTCTTGACGTCATCTGATCCACACCAAAGGTCTAGCACAAGTTCCTGCCCAACCATTTGGTTAGACTTCACACATTGTTAATGCGATCATCTAATTCTAAAATCCCAAACGACCGTGTTTTCTCATTCGCATTCTCTTGCACTTCCTGTACATGTCTCTTTTACTCCCCACAGACCATATAACTGTGTAAGATGCCTTTGTTCCCTCAAACCACCATTGTTCCAAGCAACCTTCTTAATCCCAATTTGATTCCATTGCGTACAGAGAGGTAGCTCGTCAGGGTTTTTTCATTTTAAGAATCCACTATTCCTATGCCACCTTAATATCCCAATTTTGTTCCATTGCATACATCCATGTAGCTCATCGGGCTATTTTACGATGGAAGTAAGCTTCGCCAATGGGGAAACATGCATGGTTGTGCACCGGACAAGACAACAAAAGAAAACTAGAGCTACCTAGGTATATTGTGGTGAATGGTTGTAGTATGAAGCACATGGTTGATCCGATGAGAAGCATCAGTTACTAAACATTGGGCCTGATGAATTATAAGAGATCTTCAATCTTTATACAATTCATTTTATGAGTGAACTCGCATTTTATTTCTATTTACGAAATGTGTTTTTATGAATGCACATCTATAGTTGTTTTAGGTTTAGCCAAGGGTTGACATGTCTCTACTGTCTCTACTCAATGTTTTTTCATCTCATATCACCTCGTCAATATACGGTCAAGGTAATAAATTAACAGAACAAAAATCAAACTCATTTTTAGTCTTTTCATCAAATTTTCTTTAGATGCTTATATTAAACAATATTTCTTTCAAACAAAATTCTTTATCCTCAACTTATACTATGTTTCATAAAATTTCTCATGTTTTTAAACATCAAATTATTTGTTAATAGTTCCTGCAGGAGCGAACGAGATATCATCTACTCCCTCCATTCCTAAATATTTGTCTTTTTAGGATTTCAAATGGACTACCACATACGGATGTACACAGACATATTTTAGAGTGTAGATTCACTCATTTTGTTCCGTATATAGTCACTTGTTGAAATCTCTAGAAAGACAAATATTTAGGAACGGAGGGAGTAGTTTATTCCGATTGAATGGCGGAAGTATGATTTGTGTTGTTCTTTTTCCTTTGAACATGCGGTGCTTCGTAAATCATTCTGAAAGCAAATTCTCATTTAACAGAAACAAATCGTTGTTGTTATGAAAATGTTCTCGTGCAGTTAAAACATGATTAACTGATTTTACCCTAGAAAAGCATTAACAAAACCTATCTAACTCTTATGCCATTTTTTTTTGAGGAAAAACTCTTATGCCATTTGATTTTACGTGAAAATGTATACAAATGTTTTCCATTTGATTGATTTTTTTAATTTCTATTTTGAGGTTTGTTTTATTTATCCACACACCGTGCAACAAGTCGCTTGGCGTGGGTGTATTAACGCACAACTACTGTACATGTCAATTGGTCACGGGGCAACTAGAGTTGCACGCCCAACTGCTTTTCATTTTTTTTAAATATTTATTAAACATACGTTGAGCATTCTTGATAGGAATGTCAAATATTTTTTTAAATACATGGTGAATGTTTTATAAACGTGTTGAAAATTTCCTAAGATACACGCCGACATTTTTAAAATAGCCTCCTCCTCCGCCCGTGCCGCTCCCGCGAGCGGATGGGGGAAACCTAGCCGCCTCGTCCTCCCAGTCCCCTCCGCCTCCCCTACTCCCTCGCTGCCGCCTGGAGGCGCCGCCGGGCGAAGCCCGGCCGGCGTAAGCGACGGCGGGGCCTTTGATTCCCCTCTGCATGGATCTCCCGACTGGTGCGGGATGGCCGGCCACCGGAGGCGCCGAGCTATGGTGGGGCTCGGTGGCGCGGCCCCAGGCACGCTCGGCCGCAGCGGTTGAGGCTACGAGTGTGGCGGTCGTGGCGGCTTGGAGGTGGCGTGGCGGTTGCAGGTGCTCTGCTTCCATGGAGGTGTGGCGGTCAGATTTGGCGCGGGGGTAGGTGGTGTCGGCAGCGGGCGGCATGGGAAGGCTGCTCCGAGGCCCCTTGGCTGTTGGGGATGGCAGTGCCGTCTCTCCACTTGGCGAGCGGGTGGCGATTCGTGGTCGGACGGTGGTCCGAGGCAGCGGCCATGGTGGGGAGGCACAGAGGTGTTTAGTGGGGACTGGTCAGGGGAGATGGGGGGCTAGTGGTGGCCCCTCGTCACCGGCAAGGTGTCGGTCGTGGATTCGTTCCGCTCCTCCACTCCCCCTCTCCCCGACCTAGTGCTGCGTGGTCCTCGGTCTGCCTTCTTCGGGTCTGGGCAGTCGTTGGCGGCTCCGTCGGTGGTTGGGGTCGGTTAGGCCAAAACCGGTGCCTTGGTTGGTTGTGGAGTTGTCGGATGGTAGGGCAGCGACCCTGGTGGGAGGCGTGGCGTTCGTGGGTGGGGCATGCGTCTCAGGTGCGGGCGGGAAATCATGGTTACGCGGGTCCCGTGGTTGCAGGTGGTTGACAAAGCTAGGATGTGGTGGCGGGGTGTGAGCATCGGGGTACATCTCCTGCCCAGTCTTACTGGCCGGCGGTGGCGGCGACCGTTGCTGTCGTAGCCCTTCCAGAAGGCACCGTCGCGGTGTTCTCACTCCTCGTCTTGCTCCGGGTGAAAACCCGATCTTCGGGATCGAGCGGTGGC